AGGAGAAGAACTCTCCCCAGGAGAGAAGAGCCACCCCCAAAAACCGATCCCCTCCATAGGAAGCCCAGCCCCCTATTTATAGAAAAGGGAGAGGTTATAAATCTATTCTAATGGGCCAATGGGCCTAAATGAGCAGTTGGGCCGAAATATGGGCCGATGGGCCGGAAATGGGTCGAGTAGGCCTAAATGGGCCTCGTCGACCGGGCTCCATGCCGGGGTGATGCATTGGGCCTCTGAACAGTAGCAGGCCGGGATAATATATCCCAACACAAGTCCCCCAGTTTCTTGAGTAGTGAGCTTGCAAATCTACACGAGAAAGTATACTCTTGCTCACATCCTTTCCTGCCATCCCTGAATCAGTCTTTGAATAATCTTGGGCGCAAGGCATGCATAATCCATAAGTGAGGTGCAATCCGACCCTAGGCATGACGGCGCTGTAGAGCCAGCTGCTCGTGCTGCATAGAAATGACAATCGCCATCCTAGATTAAGGATCGACGAGCCCGATCAAAAAGAAGGCACGACGGCGCTGATGATCCAGCCGTTCGTGCTGCATAAAGCGGCGGTCACCATCCTAGATCAAGGATAGACGAGCCCGACCGAGAGTCAGGCACGACGGTGCTGCATAAAAGCGGTGGTCGCCATCCTAGATCAAGGATAGACGAGCCCGGCCGAGAGTCATGCACGACGGTGCTGTGGAGCCCGTTCGTGCAGCATAAAAGCAGCGGTTGTCATCCTATATCAAGGATGGACGAACCGGACCGAGAGTCAGGCACGACGGTGCTGTGGAACCCGTTCGTGCTGCATAAAAGCGGCGGTCGCCATCCTAGATCAAGGATAGTCGAGCCCGACCGAGAGTCTGGCACGATGGTGCTGTGGAGCCCGTTCGTGCTGCATAAAAGTGGCGGTTGTCATCCTAGATCAAGGATGGACGAACCCGACCGAGAGTCAGGCACGACGGTGCTGTGGAGCCCGTTCGTGCTGCATAAAAGCGGCGGTTATCATCCTAGATCAAGGATGGACGAACCCGACCGAGAGTCAGGCACGACGGTGCTGTGGAGCCTATTTGTGCTGCATAAAAGCGGCGGTTGTCATCCTAGATCAAGGATGGACGAACCCGACCGAGAGTCAGACACGACGGTGCTGTGGAGCCCGTTCGTGCTGCATAAAAGCGGCGGTTGTCATCCTAGATCAAGGATGGACGAACCCGACCGAGAGTCAGGCACGATGGTGCTGTGGAGCCCGTTCGTGCTACATAAAACGGCGTTCGCCATCCTAGATCAAGGATAGACGAGCCCGACCGAGAGTTAGGCACGACGGTGCTGTGGAGCCCGTTCGTGCTGCATAAAAGCGGCGGTCGTCATCCTAGATCAAGGATGGATGAGCCCGACCGAGAGTCAGGCACGATGGCGCTGAGAGGCCGATCATGTTGCATAAGATGGTCCTGCTTTGATATGGACTTACGATGCCATGGTCATTGCCATGGTCCTTACATGGCCATCGTCAAACACGAACTAGACACGATGGCGCTGAGAGGCCGATCGTGTTGCATAAGATGGTCCTGATGTGATATGGACTTACGATGCCATGGTCATTGTCGTGATCCTTACATGACCATTTCCCACAGGAATGGACCTGACTCGACTCTGACAGACGTGGACCTGAAACATGGACTCGACTCGACTCGACTCTACAAACATGGACTCGACTTGACTCGGATAGACATGGACTCGACTCTACAAACATAGACTCGACTTGACTCGGATAGACATGGACTCGACTTGACTCGGATAGATATGGACTCGACTATACAAATATGGACTCGACTTTGACAGACGTGGACTCGCCATCTTCCAAACCCATAGTTCTGATCCCCCGTTCAAACAATCCGTGTTACCAAACTTCGCTCGGTTCATCCATACTTATAGTTTTGACATCACCTCCAAGCCGTTTTGATCCCTCTATTCATCCGTTCATAATCATAGGGTCAAATACTGTTAGCTGAGATGATTCACCTCTAAGTCGTTTTGATCCCTCTATTCGTCCATTCATAATCATAGGGTCAAATAATGTTAGCTGAGATGATTCACCTCCAAGCCGTTTTGATCCCTCTATTGGTCCGTTCATAAGTATAGGGTCAAATACTGTTAGCTGAGATTATGGCTCCCTCCAAACTGTTAACACGTTCGTCATTCGATCATCCGGAATGATTTTACGTGTTAAAAGCTGAGGTGAGACTTTCTAGCTTCCTAACCCAAAATTCCGATGTAGTCCGTCCGGTTTTTTCCGATCCAAATCATCCTTATTAGGGGTTTGAGATGACCATCTTCAAACTATAAAAAAAATCCCCGGATCGGATCATTTCTTACTTATAGCTAAAATGGCGACTCACTTCCAAATCAAGTTAATGACTTAGGTGAGATTTTAAAACCATAGTTCCGATCCCCTGGACGAACAATCCATGTTACCGAACGTCGCTCAGTTCGTCCATACTTATAGTTTTGACACCACCTCCAAGCCGTTTCGATCCCTTTATCCGTTCATAATTACAGGGTCAAATACTGTTAGCTGAGATGATGGCTCCCTCCAAACTGCTAACATGTTCCTCATTCGGTCGTCCGGAACGATTTCCATGTTAACCGTTGAGGTGAGACTCTCAATGTTAACGTTCAGTTCTTCTATACTAGCGGTCAAAGTGACATTCGAGGAGCCCGGAATTCCTTATCTCTCTCTCTCTTTTCATTTTTTTAATACAGGGACTTTCAATGATGATCACATCGTGCCAGGGTGGCCAATTGTGAAAGTATAGAAGTAGTCAATGATGATCCGAACAATAAGTCTCCCTCCGTGGAGTATGGAGTTGTTAACCGCTGAGGTGAGACTCTCAATGATGATCACGTCGTGCTGGGGTGGCCGATCGTAATTAAGAATGTTAGAGGGTCTTGCAGGCGCCCCCTGCCCGTGATACGATGGCGCTGAGGGGCCAATCGTACTGCATAAGACGGTCATTCTCCCTCTGTAAAGGCGTGGGAGGATCCGACCATGATCAAGGATATTCGAGGGTCTTGCAGGCGCCCCCTGCCCGTGATGCTTGCTCTAGGTGCCGAACGGTGGGTCCGGATTGCTAGTCATGGATTTCTCTGGACTCTCTCTCATCTCCTGCCTTTGAAGCTTGCTCTAGGTGCCGAAAGGTGGTGCCGGATTGCTAGCTAGTCATGGAGTGACACCCTTTTTTTAGTCATGAACATCTTTGTACTTCACACCGAACGTTACTGATCTCCCCGATCGGGCATTTCGAACAAATTTGCCTGTGTAATTTCTTCTTTTCTCTGGCGGCCATGAATGTCTTCGCACTTCATGCCGAACGTCACAGATCTCCCCGATCAAATCTACCGAACGGATTTGCTTCTCTTCTTTGCCGATCATGAATGTCTTTGCGCTTCATGCCAACAATCTTGCCGTTAGCGAGCCTGTGTCTTCGAGTAGCGAGCCTGTGTCTTCGAGTAGCGAGCCTGTGTTTTCGAGTAGTCTTGCTAGATGTGCAGGTGTCTACCCCTCCTCTTGAACAGTAAGTAGGCCAAGTTCTTATTGAGTCAATCAAGAACGATTACAGCATACCCTACTGTGGATGAAAACGATCTTCGTATGATAATCACCTAGCGGCAGGGGCAGCGGCAAGTCATGCTCGTTTCAAAGCCCTCGGTCGTGATACTCTCCTTGAGGCCATCAGCCTCCTGGTAGAAGATGCTCATTTCACGGCCCTTAGCCGTGACGGTCTCCTCTAGCGGCCATGAACGCCCCAGCCATGAACGTCTCTGCGCTTCACATTGAACATCATTGACCTCTTGGCTCGAACCTACCGAACAACTTTGCTTCTTTTCTTTTCCGGTCATGAACGTCTCTGCGCTTCGTGATTTCCCCATTCGAGCTGAGCGAACAACTTTGCCTGAATCTCTTTACGTTGCCAGTCATGAACGTCTCTGCGCTTCATGCTGAACATCATAGATCTTCCCGTTCGAGTTTATCGAACAACTTTGCCTAATTGTGATTTCTTCTTTTCTTTGTCGGTCATGAATGTCTCCTCCGCGCTTCATGCCAAAAATCATGGATCTCCTAGCTCGAGCATGTCGAACGGATTCCACTGCACGATAAGCAAAGTAATACGGCCGCACGGCCGAACAACATATACCAGTATATACACACACAAGTATAACATTTCTTTTGTTTCATTCATGACTATCGGTCAAGTGGTATAATAACCCTCGGCCTAGATTTATTTTTTGCACTGCTCAGGTGCTATCAGAACCACTTAGTGGTTTGCCGGGCGTTTCCAAGAAATAACAACTTTAGTAAATCAAACTAAGTACTTCGCCCCGTACTAGGCGTGGTTGCCGTTCGGACACCAAAACCAAGCATTTAATAAAAGTGAAGGTGAGCCTATTACCAAAGCTTCGCTTGGCATTATCTTGTTCGGGATTTTTTTTAAACCTTATAAAACAATGGTGACGTGCAATTAATAGTAATAATACTATAATTAACATTTTAATGCACTAGCACTCGATGCCGAGCGGGACTTTTAATGTATTAAAACACGTCGCTTTAGTGCCCTTCGAATGTACTCCTATCGCTCTGTTAGCCCAATCATGGGTTGGCCGGTCGGCCTACTAAGCCAATCATTTAATATAAAATGATGGTGATCTTATCACTAGGGCTTAACCCCAAATTATTAAGATCGGGATATTCTTACCCCCTAATTAAAAATAAAGATAACATCAGCAATAATACTGAGGGTATGAGCAATAAAAAAAATTGTAGTACTTAGCTGAATAAGGCTGAATTTCAGCTGGCAGGCCAAGTTATTGGCCCAGAGAGTTTAATTGACCAAAGGTGATCCACTTCAACCATTAATGGCGCAGCCTTCTCCATGAGAGCCAGCACCAATCTCCACAAGTGAAGGAGCTTATTATGGGCTTTAACCTGGCCCACGTTGCCTATCATTTGTTGGTGGCCCACATCCCTTCTCTTTTACACGCTTCATCCCTTCGGGATTTCCAAAGACCGTTCGAGCTTTCCTGTTCTTCCTGGAGCGTCACATAAAGCAGAGCTCAGATTCATCGCTGGGCTGAGGAGGTTCCGTACGGTGACTTGCTGGACGGGAAATTTGGGACGGACGGGAAGATCCCGAGCTGCAATCCTGCCGATCGGGAGCTGCGAATCTGGGCAGGGAAAGCAGATGGCGTTTGGGCTGAGTAACGATCGTGGCTTGGATCTGGCGTTCGATCTGGGCGGATGCGCTCACCGAAACGGAGATGGATTGTATAGAAGGGCCGGTCGGCCTGGTGATCTCCATTCAGCGTGAGCGTCCGGTGGTGTCCTCAAATTGTTTTTCATACTAATGCTTCAATCCACGCCCCCGTTCAATTCCAACTTGAAATTCCGTCCGAGATGGCGGAGGCTCTTGGAAAGAAGATCGCCGCACCGGTTGATGCTAACTAAAATTGGGCAGCCCGCTGCAGCTCCATCAATGGGTAGTCAATGAAGCAATCATCAGCCGTATTTATGGTCCGAGTATCTCAAGAGCCCGAACAGTGTGCTGAAATTAGGAGCTAAGAAAACAAACTGCGAGGGTGCCGGACGAGCATGATGCCGATCGGTGTGATGTACTGATGCCGGCATGGAAATTGTTCCGTACGGGAAGTCCCTTTTTGATTTGCTCCGGGTAACTTAGGCCATTAACCGCTGGTCTGGCAGATTCCTTATGAAAACGAGTGGCAACCTCTTTTGGTTGTCAGACATTGGACCGAACAGGGCCACGAAGCCGGACAGGGCTACGAGGAACCGAACGGTGTTCTGCCGCTGGTTGGTAAGCCTTCTACACACCCGTCTGGAGACCGAACGGCATTGAACCGGGTTGGTTGCTGGTCCACAACTGAGAGGTGAGTTGACCATGGACACCGAGCAAGGTGTACAATAATGCCGACCGGGTGTAATGAGCATGGCAGGTGGGCTGACCATGGACACCGGCAGATGAACAGTATTGTTAATGATTTGTCTTGATTGCATTGTATTTCTCGGTTCTCCAAAGGGAATAACTTTGGAGGCTGTTCGGGTCATTTCTCATATAGAACTGCTAATGATATGATTTGGAGGCTGTTCAGGCCACCTCCTGCACAGGACTGCTAATGATATGATTTGGAGGCTGTTCAGGTCACCTCCTGCACAGGACTGCCCATGTTTTCTGGTTAATTGTGAAAATTGGTAGGCAGGGGAACGGCTGGTATGGACGGGTTCTGCATATTCCCCTTCGGTAAATGGTGTGGTGCTTCAAGAATGCAAACGTCAACTTCTCGAATGTAGATCGGGCCCTACTCGTGGGTTAATGGCAACTAGCTATAAACATCCCGGGAGTTCCCAACCAAGGGCGGTGGTGGTGCTAGCTAAGGAGCAGTTCTCATGGCCTTCAAAAAACCCTTATCTCATTCGAGATGAACCTGTTGCATCTCGGGTGATCATCCTTCCGGCTAGCATCCCTGGATTGGCCAGGAAATACCGTTCGGGCTTCAGAAACCCACTTGTCAACATATGGCCCCACCTATCTTTTCAGCCACTAGTATTGTCAGGTTGCAGCCTTTTGGTGTCAAGGATAACAGCTGTTACGCGTGGGGCCCATCGATGTGTGCCAGAGAAATATCCGCACTCGACTGTTGTCCTCCTCTGATTGGCCCCTCCTACTGGGTTGAAGAAATGACGGAGGAAGGTGAGCCTAGCTCGGACAACGGTCTTCGCGAGCTTCGATTCTCCAATTGTGATGGTGGAGACTGATAAGCCCAAAATACTAAACAATCAAGCAACCACAACAATTAAGAAGAAGCAGATAGAAGATTATGAGATGAAAAACCGAATCTGGTATACCGTGTAAACTGGCCGCTGCTCTCCCTGAAGAAAGAGAGCAGCGGCAACACTAATCTCTCTATCTCTGCGCCTCTATTCTCTAAAGCCTCAAACGTTAGTTAGGGTTCCCGTAAGTTAGCTTCTTTTATAGGAGAAGTTGGCTAACTTACGGGTTATAAGGAAGCCCTTGGGCTGATACACATTTGTGGCCCGTATTACATTTTTAATTGATAACTACACAAATACAAAGATAACTAACTAGATTGAACACCATAAAATATTCCCAACAATCTTTCCCTTGGTGATCAATCGTGTTGAGTCAGCATTGCAACGCAGATATCTTTGTCTTTGTTGTTATTCAGCTTCCTTTTCATTTGAACTTGACTTTTTGAGAAGGCTTCATGAAGAAATCATCGCAATCTCCCATTTGATGTTTTCTTAGCAAATTGATCTTTGATGTCGGGGGTTGAGGAATCTTTTTCTTGAAAACCTTGCCTTCCAAAAGTAGCTCTTGATAAGCTTGGATGAAGTTCGGTGGCGCCTCTAGAATGATAGTTCTGATGAGTTTCAGACGTCCATTGAATTCATCTTCAGAGTTTGATTATCTGACCTTTGTCTCCTCCACAATGTAGTCTTTTTGACTATTTGGAATGGATGCATTTGAGGAGAACTTGTCGGTGGCACAGCGGAAAATGATGGTTGACTTGTGAGCATAGCTGACCATTTGAGTTGCGGAGATAGTAGAGAGAGTGTTGGAGGAGAGAAGTGTCCGAGAATGATTTTTGAGAGTTAAACAGCATGTGGAACACTCCCCCCTCATGACGATCCGATGACTCGGGGCGTCATGCCTTTATTCTTTTATTCTGCGGAAATAAAACAGGAAAAACAAGCAGAATGTAAAGAAGATAACGTAGCCCCCCGGGGTCGTGAAGACGCCCGTTATCATCACTATAGAGATAAACTCTTTAGCAATAGCCTAAAAATGTTGGTGATTCTTATGTTGCAACAGCAGGACTTCCTTCCAATTATTGGTCTACATCTGTAATAGATGAGCCCAATGGAAGTTCTCGCGGGTCATGTAGACCTGCAACTGACTCTAAAAGTGCGTCTGTGTCCTAGAAAATTTCAAAACATTTGGGAGTGAGTAACTAGACACGACGTGATCAATGAAAGTTCAGTGGCATGGGGCTGAGACCATTGTAGTCAATATTACTTGCCTCGGAAGGAGACAGTAATGAGAGATGCGGTTCCCCGTGAAGTATGATTAAACACCTGTCTGTTGGGAAACAAGTGAGTGGTCTTGGGCAAGGTTCAATGTGCACTGTTGGACAAGATGCAATGACTTCTACCCGGGATCTGATTAAATCAGTCCTGAACCTATTTGGGAATTGTCCAGAGTATTTGAGTGGCTAGGAGTAAATGTTCAATGGATAATAGGCAGTTGAGGTAGCAGACTCATCATTGATTATTGTTTTTCTTCTCACTTGAACCTTCTGCTTCCTAACTCTCATAATAATTACTCTCACTCACTAACTCACTCACTTACTCTCGGCTTTGTTCCTTGGGTAGGCTTTAGTTGGGTTTACTAAGCCATAGGAACATGTTCTCTCATTGATTTTTTCTCTGTACTCCCCCTCAACTGGAGCACTCGGTATGTTTTGTCATTGTTAGGCACCGGGGATGATAACATTGAACACTCCCCCTAGAATGTTGCATCCGTTGAGAGATTCCTTGCTTTGTCAGTGTAAGGCGCCAGGTGGAGAAAACTGAAACTCCCCCTCAGAATGTGCAAGGTTTGATTGCTCACAGCTCGTCATACCCGCTATTTGTGTGGAGCAATCTGAACAAGTACCACACATGGCGGTTTCCCTGAGCTCATCATGTAGAATTTCAGTATATTGATGATCACATAATGTTGATGAGTCAGAGGAGACTTCAGTGGTTGATTGTTGTAAGACGACCGTTGACGCGAGGTTGATTGAATTATCTACGATTTTTGGACTTTTACATTGGAGCATAGAAAAGCTTTGACTTCAGGGTTGACATTGAAAGAATTTGAACAGATTTGCCTAAGTTTTGACCTGGACATCGGTGATTTACAATGTTTGTCGGAAAACTAACGTTTTGACCCTCAAAGACTGCGAGTGAGGGCGCGTGAGAAAGGGTTCTGGGGCATAGCCTGAGAATTTATGTAGATCTTTTCGTTAGCTTTCCAACAAAAAAAAGTTTGCTTAAATCGGATCACCGAGTCAAAAGTTATGGCCAAAATAGTGCGGTGTCACATAAAATCTCTAATTTTGAGTTTTTGAGGGATCACCGACAGAATTTCCCCCATCATCCTGTCGGGTCGGGGTGGGGGAGGGGCCTTGGGGTTGGGGATTCAACCTTTTGGACGTTGAGGAAATTCTTCGAGATTGAGGTTCTTGATGTTGAATTAAACAAAATTCTAAGGCAAAAACTCGAAGTCCTAATCTCGAGATTTTAATTTCAAGTTTGCCTTGAAGAGTAATGGCGAAATCCAACTGCAAAACAGACCTCAGAATAACGAAATTTTCAGAATTTCAAAATGTTTGGAACATCGAAACTTTGGAGTTTCAAAAACCTCATAATATCGAAAACTTGCTGTTTGAAAAACATCAGAACATCGAAAACATCTAAAAACTTTTATAAGCAGGGAATCATTCAGAAATCCTATAATGTAAAGCTTCGATGAACTGCAAAGGATGTCAAGATTCGAATTATGAGTTCCAAGAAACTGCAAACTTTGAAAGATTCAAAACATCGAGAAATTCCGAAAATTCTGAAATTTTTCAAAATGTCGAAATCCAAAACATCGAGTTCCTAAAACTCGAAATAAATTCCAAAACTCGCAATTCCAAAACTCTCAAATTTTTAAAACTCGAGGTTTAAAACTCGAGGTCAGAACTCGAGGTTTAAAACTCGAGTTCAGGGTCGCGAGTTTACAAACTCGAGTTCATGACCTCGAGTTTACAAACTCGAGTTCATGACCGCGAGTTTACAAACACTCGAGTTCATGACCGCGAGTTTACAAACTCGAGTTCATGACCGCGAGTTTACAAACTCGAGTTCATGACCGCGAGTTTACAAACTCGAGTTCATGACCGCGAGTTTACAAACTCGAGTTCATGACCGCGAGTTTACAAACTCGAGTTCATGACCGCGAGTTTACAAACTCGAGTTCATGACCGTGAGTTTAAAACTCTCGATTTTAAAAACTGTCCAATTTTGAGAATCTGAAAACTGTTCTGAATAGCCCTGAAGGTCGTGATCCATCTTGTATCTGTTTCAAGTCAAAATCATTTCTGCAGCAGTGTGTAAGCACAAACTCGCAATTCATGTAGAGTTCTACGAAAAATGAAAATTTGCAGAAATCGAAAAAGAGTGTATGCTGCTGGATCGGCTTTGAAGGGCGATTCCAACAGTATAATTTTTACAGATTTTCATTCACAAACAATATTACAGGAGCAAAACTCTATATGAAGAAAAAGAGAAGAAAAGCAGAGCATTCTTCGTTAGATCCAAGAAAATCACAGATACATTCAACCTGTTTCACGCCTCGGCTCTGATACCAATTGATAAGTACAGAATACTAAACAATCAAGCAACAATAACAGTTAAGAAGAAGCAGATAGAAGATTATGAGATGAAAAACTGAATCTGGTATACCGTGTAAACTGGCCGCTGCTCTCCCTGGGGAAGGAGAGCAGCGGCAACCCTAATCTCTCTATCTCTGCGCCTCTATTCTCTAAAGCCTCAAACGTTAGTTAGGGTTCCCGTAAGTTAGCCTCCTTTTATAGGAGAAGTTGGCTAACTTACGGGTTACAAGGAAGCCCCCGGGCTGATACACATTTGTGGCCCGTATTACACGTTTAATTGATAACTACACAAATACAAAGATAACTAACTAGATTGAACACCATAAAATATTCTCAACAGAGACCGTTGAGCCTCCGACCGGCAGAAAGCGTAGGCCATGATGACGGGACCTGGATGAGCTAAAGCAGTGACGGTGCTGGCACCTCCGGCGGTCCCATCCCAGCTCCTTTCCATGATCAAGCAGCTCATGGTTGGTATACGGCCTCGTGGGCATTGTTGTAATACCCGAGATTAATTTAAGAGGATTAATAGTACTACTCATACCAACAAAGGTGCATCTCCTTTTAAGGGAGCTCATCACCCAAGAACTCCAAATTTAAGCGTGCTTGCACGGGAGTAGTCTTGGGATGGGTGACCCCCTGGGAAGTTTCTCAGGGCGCGCATGAGTGAGGACAAAGTGCACGGTAAAGGCTCGTGGTGGTTTGTGGGGACAGTACTAGAGGTCTGTAGTAACTACCTCGGGTCTTGTGGGGCCGGGGTGTTACATGTGGTATCAGAGCAATCTTGCGACAGTGTGCTGACCCGTTGGATATCGGGCGGTCACTTAGCGGGGCAAGATTCTGGGGGTTGATTGAGTTTGGTTTAAGGGCGCAACGAGGACGTTGCGATCCTAAGTGGGGGTGATTGTAATACCCGAGATTAATTTAAGAGGATTAATAGTACTACTCATACCAACAGAGGTGCATTTCCTTTTAAGGGAGCTCATCACCCAAGAACTCCAAAGTTAAGCGTGTTTGCACGGGAGTAGTCTTGGGATGGGTGACCCCCTGGGAAGTTTCTCAGGGCGCGCATCAGTGAGGACAAAGTGCACGGTAAAGGCTCGTGGTGGTTTGTGGGGACAGTACTAGAGGTCTGGAGTAACTACCTCGGGTCTTGTGGGGCCGAGGTGTTACAATTGTGCTTCGGTTGTAGCTGTTAGCCTTGTGTTCGGGGAGTTCCCGTTCGGGATTCGGCGTCTCTCCTTTGGATAAGAGTGAATCCGTCAAATCATCAAAAAGTGTTGTCAGGATAAGGAAAGTGGTGGGCACGTGGGCCCCACTCATCATTTTTCTCCATTCTCCTTGGACTCCTGCTTCGGCCCTAGCGTTTTCTTGGGATGGGTGACCCCCTGGGAAGTTTCTCAGGGCGCGCATCAGTGAGGACAAAGTGCACGGTAAAGGCTCGTGGTGGTTTGTGGGGACAGTACTAGAGGTCTGGAGTAACTACCTCGGGTCTTGTGGGGCCGAGGTGTTACAATTGTGCTTCGGTTGTAGCTGTTAGCCTTGTGTTCGGGGAGTTCCCGTTCGGGATTCGGCGTCTCTCCTTTGGATAAGAGTGAATCCGTCAAATCATCAAAAAGTGTTGTCAGGATAAGGAAAGTGGTGGGCACGTGGGCCCCACTCATCATTTTTCTCCATTCTCCTTGGACTCCTGCTTCGGCCCTAGCG